GATTCTCTGGTCTAGACTCTATTATTTACAGACCGCCGTCATGTAGCTGGAATACTGCTGAGTGCGGCGTTAAACAACAAACAAACGCAGGATTGTAAATGCGAAATAGGATGGCTTTCGCGTGGCAAACTTGAACGTGTATTAAACTGAGATCACACATTTTTGCTGAGAACATATGGCGGATGCTCGTACTAATGTATACTGACAGTAAACAGATGTCCAGTGTGTATAGTATGTGTAATTGTGCAAGTATACCGTTCCCTCAACATTGTCAGCATTAATCAACACAACTCATTATCACGTGGATGTACGTGAACAAACTCGTTTGCAGTTTCACTGAACAGAAGATAGAACATTAATGACAAATGTCCGTGAATTACCATGTGATAACAAAGGGTCAAACGGTCAACATTCGGACAACATTCCTCAGGAACTTTAACTACCCATGATTTAGTTTATTCATATACACACAATGTACCAATTAACCTAAGGCGTTTTGTAATATATTACAATGTGATAGTGATTCATAAATACATGCTCATGATACTCTGGTACTCTAAATAGTATGTGGCTTTGTTCTCTATGTAAACGTATACAAATGTAACCTTCTTGTCTTATTTAACCATAACCAATGCCGAAATAAATTAAAACATTCCTCATCCTACCGAGTCTACTCTTCATCGATGCGCATGATGTCAATCACTGGATTGTCTGGTCCAGACTCGATTACTTACAGACCGCCGTCATATAGCTGGAATATTGCTGAGTGCGGCGTTAAACAACAAACCAACATTGGCTATCAGAGTAATACCCCAATGCTCTTCAGCACCTTTCGTCCGTAAACAAATAATCGTAAATCGTAAAAAGCGCAGTAATAATCAAAGGATGTTGATGTGTCCACCATCCATCATGATCATGTCAACCGATGGAAGCTGCATGCCTCTCACACGGCGTGTAACGCGTAAACTAAAGCTATTTACCTTGAAACTAATTGAAGGTATTTACCTAACATTGGGGCCAGTTCGAAAGTTCGGTGATGGATAAAAATCTTAATCCTTAAGTTACATGTGGTTTCATCTTGTGCAGTGAGTGATCTGGAATGGCAAATAATACCCAAGTTTTTGTCAACACGTTTATATATTATTAATGTTACTATTTGTGCTGACTATAATTATATATTTACGTTCAGGTGGGTCTCTATGGACAATTATATACCTTTGGACTCGGTGCCATACACACGGTGAGTTATTTCATATATTTTATTTTATATATAGAGGATTCATTTCGAGTGTTTTTTAATATGGGAAATATCAGCCGAGTCTTAGTTAATCGCCAAAGGCTCGGCAAATACAATAACGGGAAGAGGTTGATATTTCCCATATAAAAAAAACTCTCGTGATGAATTCTATTTATCATTTTCACATTTTTGTTTCCCTTTTAAGGAGTAACTGCATTATCATCAGCAACTTGTCGAAATCTTACTTATATATCGTGCGTAGTGATAAATCATTTCCATTGCCGTGTAAAGTTACTGTAACCAAAATAAAGAACTCCTTCATGGCATATTCCTTCGCTGAGAAAACACGCAATAGATATGTTAAAGATGTCATTAATTATCCTAAGTAGTAATACTATTGTACATCATTAGGCAAACATCTTGGCGCTCTCTGTCAAATACATAATTATTTTTTACTGTGTATATACTTGAATAAACAAGTTGTTTCGAGTCGTTTCGATGTCATGAGAGAAGAAATTTTGTTTTTTACAATACGATAAACCACTGATCGCCAGGTTTAGGCACATTAGACCACAATTTGGGCCTTACGTCGCGACAGATCTATTCTTGGTCGTCTCAGTCAACAGGCAAAGCCATCTCCCCCCAACACATGTTGTAGTGATCATTGACACCTCTTAACCCGAAATGGATTGTGTTGTAGAGCCATAGACAGTTTATTACGCCACATGGACCCGATCTCTGCATCACCAATCGGGTCATCTCTCCTTGGTGTAAGTTGCCACGCCCTTCTATCTTTAGTTCAAGTTTTCTCCCCTTTAATACTTCCCGTGATCGTGAAAATTCTTAAGAAGACGTGAGTGAATAGCCATACCCCCTTCGTTTTAGCGATCTCTCGATGCTGCTCTGAAAACCCGTGAGACTGTTTGGTTCATAAATTTCCCCATTTGTTTTTTGAACACAAATGAAAAACTTGCATAGAAGTGTGTTTAGTTCGTTTTGGGGTATTTCATGCATTTGGCGAATTTCATTTTGGACTTTCAAACGGTTTCAAATCGTACAAAGTTTTCTTGGTTGTGTTTTTGTTTTGATTGTCTCGAATCACACCATCGATCATGCCGTCCCCAACAGCCACAAATCTACCTTGGACATCTTCTCTTCTTTGTGTTCGTCGTCTGCTTCTCCCTGCCCGACGAGACCCGTGAAGATTCCGGTGTAGAATAGGTCTTCAACAACCCATGCTTGTCGTAAAAGGCGACTAACGGGATCGGGTAGTCAGGCTCGCTGACTTGGTTGATGCATGTCATCAATCCCAATTGCGTGGATCGATTCTCATGATATCAATCACTGGATTGTCTGGTCAGGGCTCGATTATTTACAGACCGCCATCACATAGCTGGAATTGTGGCGTTAAACAACAAACATAAACCTAAGCTATGTTTGTACATATTCCGACAGATGTTGTGTATGGAGGCACCGGTGACCGAGAGCAGAGTTGTGTTCCTTAGACACGCCAGAAACCTATGATAGTGGGCTCGAATCCCGATTCTGTTTTTAGGATTGTGAGCACCATACCCGTGCCCGTGGGTTTCACCGAAGTGGTAAATGCGAAGACCTGCATCACTTCGGGCTTTCCTCCCACATTAAGCTGACAAGCCGTGATATGACAGGAATACAGTTAAAAGCGGCGTTAAACCCAACTCTGGTTATGCGGCATGTCGTTAATGGATCGTCAACGGGCGGATGTGTAGATATTTAAGGGCAACTAGTAACGATGTGATCATATAAGATTGTGATATCTGTTCATAAGTTCTAACCGTCATGTTGTATGTTGCATAACTCTGTATTTTTTCCCCACAGGGACTTTCACCTGTCTCCCCAGCTGAGGCCATCTGCTGTGATGAAACTATCATTTTAAGAACTTCAACCTGCGTTTGCGATTCCATCAACAAACTACCCTGGTTACTCGAGATACAGGATGTAGGGTCATTCGTAGCTACGTAGTCTCGGAAACTTTCCAAGTGTAATTTCTTTAGATAGCGTATCATGTGTGAAGCCCATTTCTGGTGTCCCCCGCCGTGATATTGCTGGAATATTGCTAAAAGCAGCGTAAAACCATACTCACTCACTCACTCACTCAGATAGCGTATCAGTGGGTGCATGTACATAATTTAGAGTGTTTATGCTGGGAAGTTAATAATCAAAACAAACCATAGGCCTATGGGATCACAAGCAATTGACCCGTGAAGATTCTGGGGTAGAATAGGTCTTCAGCAACCCATGCTTGTCGTAAAAGGCGACTAACGGGATCGGGTGGTCAGGGTCGCTGACTTGGTTGATGAATGTCATCGGTCCCAATTGCGTTGATCGATGCTCATGCTGTCAATCCCTGGATTGTCTGGTCCAGACTGGATTATTTACAGACCGCCGTCATATAGCTGGAATATTGCTGAGTGCGGAGTTTAACAACAAACCAACCAATGACGTCACAATCTGTTAAGTGCACAAGCTTTTATGTTATCAGTTTGATGTTGAATATATACCTGTCGAGATTTCCAATTGAAGATTCTGAGGGATAACGGGTGTTTCATCTCAACTGATATACAGCATCTGGTTATAAAGTGTGCTCATGATCTTGCCTGGCACGGATGGTTAACGTCCACTGCACAGACAAAATGTAACGAAGCCGTGTCCTTGACGTCTGCACTTGAGAAATTCATTTATATCTTTGGACCTCCATAACCGACCCAGAAATCGACCCAGGTCTTCGGCGTGACCACAAGGCTACCCGAAGATCAGAGTATTGTGTAGATCGATGCTCATATGGTTATTTATGATCTTAAGTATAGTTGAGTAGAATAAATTTGTCAGCCGCCAGACCTCTTTGTTATCCATTTACACTACCATTCTCTGGGACCCGGGTCTTTAGCAGATGCTTGTCGTAAGAGGCGACTAACGGGATCGGGTGTTCAGGCTCGGTTGATGCATGTCATCTCCCAATGGGGATGTCAATCACTGGATTGTCTGATGGAGACCGCCGTCATTGCATGCATATTGCAAGTTTGGCGTTCCAGATGTTGTCGCAAAAGCAATTTCCAGCTAGCAATCAGTAACGTTTGTGGTTTATTTTGGAATGAGAAGAATAATGTTTGTGTTGCTCCTAGATCCGGAGTGTTTCAATGACGGCGCACACGATCGTAACCAACATGCACATAGGAAAGGTCATATTTTTGTTATTATAGCACAATTGATGATTGCTAGCTTGAAATTGCTTTTGCGGTCTTTCATCACACACGGTGTCTACTCAGCAATATTCCAGCTATGCGTAGTGCCGATCTGCGAGTACGGCTATCCCGACCTTGTCGTGAGGACCTCATTTTAAGGTATGCCAAGCGCCGTCTGATACAGATGCATTAAGGAGAAATAGATTTTACTCAATTTATCATCTTTTTTTACATTTGTATCCTGCTTCCCGAGGACCACCTCTCGTATCACTTGCATTTGCATCTAACAAAATGGCGGCGCCCAATCAAGACGATCTGATAAATAATCAAGATCTTTATTGTGATAAAACTGGACTTGCACCGCAAAGTGCATCAAATCACGCGGGCACCTTGGCGCTGCACATGTTTTGTAAATCCTGCAATCGACATGCTCAGTTACGAACCGGATTTCGATTTCGATTGGACTCCACAATACTAGTCCGTTGCCTCGGGAAGATGGCATTACTATAACTGTTGCAGACCTGCCTCCAGATGTGACAAGCGGTAACATGACATCACTTCCGGTCGTGGCCGCCTCAGAACTGGTTTGATCCACTTTGTCTTCAGTTGGACCTCACGCAGCTTCATTTTCTGTCAAAAGGAGTAATGTAAGTAATTCAATAAATCATATCGAAGGGGTCATTATGTTTGGTTGTTGATGTCAAGCTTATGAGCTGGAGACGTTTTGGTCTCTTCGTCTTTACTGTGCCAAACATACCAGTGTCTGGAAGCAAGAGCCAATCAGCAATGGACTGAGACGACCCGATTTGTTCTAGTGGTCCTGATAACAAGCATGACACTGAGTGAGTGAGTGAGTAGGGTTTAACGCCGCTTTCAACATTATTCCAGTTATATCACGGCGTGTCAGCTTAATGTTGGAGGAAAGCCAAAAGTGATGCAGGTCTGGGACGTTAACCACTTCGGTGAAACCCACGAGCACGGGTATGGTGCTGACAAACCTAGAAACATAATCGGGGCGAACCGGGATTCGAACCCACAATCATAGGTTTCTGGCGTGCCCAAGGGACGCAACTCTGCATAGCGAATCGCGGCGCCTTAGACGACTGGGCCACCCTTGCACCTAGCATGACCCATATACAATAGACATTTTGGCCCCGATCCACACTGAAGCCTCCCCATATTTGCCCGATCGACAGTGAAGCCTCCCTAGATTACCCCGATCCACAGTGAAGTCTTCCAAAATTACCCCGATCCACAGTGAAGCCTCCCTATATTACCCCGATCCACAGTGAAGCCTCCCTATATTACCCCGACCCACAGTGAAGCCTCCCCACATTTGCACGATCCACAATGAAGCCTCGCTATATTAGCCAGATCCAGAATGAAGCCTCGCTAGATTACCCCCGATCCACAGTGAAGCCTCCCTATAATACCCCGATCCACAGTGAAGCCTCCCTATATTACCCCGATCCACAGTGAAGCCTCCCTATATTACCCCGATCCACAGTGAAGCCTTCCTATATTACCCCGATCCACAGTGAAGTCTCCCTATATTACCCCGATCCACAGTGAAACCTTCCTATATTACCCCGATCCACAGTGAAGCCTCCCTATATTACCCCGATCCACAGTGAAGCCTCCCTATATTACCCCGATCCACAGTGAAGTCTCCCTATATTACCCCGATCCACAGATAAGCCTCCCTAAAGTCAAAACTACACACGCATCAGTATTACACAACAGAGCGGCCAAATGAGTGAGTGAGTGAGTGATAATGCTTCACGTCATAAGCTGTCAAAAGTACACACGCATCAGTTATCACACAACAAAGCATGTTCATGGGTGATGGCTCGAGCGAGCGAGTTATGCTTCATTCAATAAGCTTTCCAACGTACACACGCATCAGTACGACACAACACAGCGGCCATAAAATTAATCATGTGACAATATTAACTGTATTGCAAAAAGACAATGTGGTGTCTGTTGTTCCTAAGAAATATCGGTGTACATGCACTTTGTTCCCGGTAAAATGTATCACGTCACCTGTGAATAAATAATCTGATCTCCGTGATATTTTATGCATTTAAATAATTTGTGGAAAAATGCCAAAAATTGTAATTTGGGGAGGACAAGCGTAAAGCACATATTATCGGGTGTCTAGTGTTCATGTTATTGGGTATCAAGTGTACATGTTATCGGGTATCTAGTGTTCATGTTATCGGGTATCAAGTGAACATGTTTTGAACCGGATTCCAGTGAGATCACTATTATTGGCTATCTCGCTAGTGAGTGAGTATGTTTTTACGCCGCTTTTAGCAATATTCCAGCAATATCACGGCGAAATGGGCTTCACCCATTGTACCCATGTCAGGAATCGAACCCGGGTCTTTGGCGTGACGAGCGAACGCTTTAACCACCAGGCTACCAACAGTGACAACAGAGGACGCCAAGAATTAACTTCACCCACTGTAGCCTTGCACGAAGCCAATCCATATCACCTTTACTTGTCCCTCTGGCTCCACCACGTACTCCAAGATCTCACTGATGAGACTGGTCATCACAGGGTGGACACACACCTCTTGGTTGTCCGGCTACTCCACGTTCTCCAAGATCTGTGATGAGGCTGGTCATCACAGGGTGGACACACACCTCTTGGTTGTCCAGAATCTCTCGCAGTTCACTGAAATGGACATATTAAACATCAGATATTCCGACATGTGTAACAGGAGTCGTCAGGAGGTGACATATTTCCCCGGTCTGGTACAATTCGGAAATGGAGTTTGGCTACTTATACCCCATTTTCGGTTTATTGCCATTTGATACCTTCAGTGAAGACACAAATAATTATAATGTTTTTTAAAATCCCAAAACATCACTAGGGGCCAATTCACCACCAGTCCGATCTGTATAGCAAGTTTCAACAAGGACGAACATGATCGCTTTATCCCCCCGTTATTCACACGGGGGGATAATAATACAAACATTGGTCATACTTAAACATGTTAATGTTTTGATTGGAATGAAGAGTGTGTGGAACAATTGACTAAACTAGAGCCACACGGCAATGTAGTTCACCTGAATTTTCGGATACATTTGCAACATTAGATTGTGAAGGGTGAGTGAGTGAGTATTGTTTTACGCATCTTTTAGCAATATCCAAGCCATATCACGGCAGGGGAAACCAGAAATGGGCTTCACACATTGTACCCATATCGGGAATCGAACCCGGGTCTTCGGCGTGACGGGCGAACGCTTTAACCACTAGGCTACCCGATCGCCCCAGATTATGATGGTCTTAATAAAAGAGTAAAACGAATACACCTTTAAATAACATAGGATACGTTTGGCTACAACAAATCAACACAAATAGTAACGTAGGTAAACAACAAAATGAGGCATAGACAGCATAATTATCTTACTTCAGTACAGAAGAACATGGCGATAATGAACACAGACATAATATACAGATCGTCTTGACTGGACGCCGCCATTTTGTTTGAAGCAAATGAACGTAATATGAGAATCGGAATTTGATTGGTCAGTAGAAGGAGCATTGGGGGGACATAACTGATAGTAGCCATTGGTGACGCTACAATCGAGCCCAAAGATTCCAGTCCATTCGTGACCAACTCGTGTTATTCCGGGACAAGCCGAACTGCGAACTCGTGCACTTCTCATGGCCATTTTTGCGACCGGGTTCCGTCTTAGCGCAAACGGGCATACCTAAAACAATTGTCAACTCGTTGCCTAATGGTTCACATATATTTCCCCATATATTACTAGTATATATCAGATGCAATTTAAAGCACACCGGGACATGCGGAATTATACATTATGATTGAACACATTTAACTGTGTCTTGGGTATATTTTTACGTGCAAAAATTATTCCCGAGGGATTCTTTGACAATGATTCTTCATACGCGCATTCTGATTGATTTGTCGTATTTTCGCACATAACATTCATGGACAGGGGGACGAGTCTTCTTGCAGGTTACGGAAAGTGGCGAGTGGTGACGAATGGATTCCAGTATAGTTCTGCAAGGGTGGAAACCGGACTTCTTTTACTGTCAGTTAACTCCCTTGCCTCAGGAAGATGAGTATAACATGGCTGTAATAAACACATATATATCATGCTTTCTGACTGAACTTTATCAAAGGTCACGACTGCTTTACTGTATTGCCACATAACATTCACGTGAATAACAAATTCTGCATAACAAATGAACGGCTCCAGCAAACTGATCTTTCACCCCAAACTTAATCAGTATCGGTCACCATCAGCAGTGAAACAAAAAATGTACATGTAAGTTGTCCATATATCACGACAGCACACTTACAGATGCGTGAACCTCCTTTAAAGAAATACACACATTCACTAAAAAGTTTACCTTATCAAATCTATATTGAATAAAAGAAATATAGCGGATGTTCAGGAATGAACATGCTTTCACTGTACCCTCATGACTAATTCTACCTGACATCTTTGATACAAGTCGGCAAAACAGCAGACATACGTCCTCCGAAGAGCTCGAGTGGATGAGTGAGTTGGGTTTTACGCCGCTTTTAACAGTATTCCAGTTATATCGCGGCGTGTCAGTTTAATATGGGAGGAAAGACCGAAGTGATGCAGGTCTCAGACGTGTACTACTTCGGTGAAACCCACGAGCATGGGTATGGTGCTGACAAACCTAAAAACACAATCGGGGCGAACCGGGATTCGAACCCACAATCATAGGTATCTGGCGTGCCCAAGGGACGCAACTCTGCACAGCGAATCGCGGCGCCTCAGACGACTGGACCACCCGCCCCCACGAAGGGCTCTCGAACATATGTCGTGGTGTCCACAGCGACTGCATCCATTCGCCTCGACCGGATAATATTGCATTGACATTGTAGTTTAGAATGTCTGAATCCATGTAATATTCAATTGTGAACATATGGCAACAATCTCTCACTGAATCAGGGTCAATGGACGTCTTTAGCCGGGCTGAGACGGTTAACTCGGGTACTCGGGTCGGGTGGATACTGAGTAGGACCCGGGTGCCCACAGGACTACCCGGACCCGGGTGCCCACAGGACTACCCGGACCCGTGATAAATCATGACTACTTAATGACAAAAATTATCTAGAACTCTTTGGTTTCACTACAAGTCACTTATGATCGCATTTCTTTCTGAATATGCACCCATTCCCTCTGACTTGTATATATGTTTGAATATACAGTAAACTACGGTTATAACGAACACGCTTATAACGAACAGACGGATATAACGAACTTACTTTTTGGTCCCGACTACTTGCTGTAGTCATGCTGTATATGTACTTATAACGAACTACGGTTATAACGAACTAAAATTAGTAGTCCCTTTGAGTTCGTTATAACCGTAGTTTACTGTAGATAAACTTCAGTCAACTTCAGTGCATGCATGACCAGACCGTTTTATACGTGTATCTCATTACATTTTGCCAGGTCTACGGTCACATTTTCGAATTAGACTCGTACAAGCTCTCGTCTTCAGACAATTCTTTCACCATGTTTACTATCTATTTTAGCATCCTATTCAGCATCTACAACATTCCGAAAAGACGTGTGATGGAAATATCTGGCCATGGTTGGTTGTTTGTTTGTTGTTTTACGCCGCACTCAGCAATATTCCAGCTATCTGACGGCGGTCTGCAAATATTCGAGTCTGGGCCAGACAATCCAGTGATTGACATCATGAGCATCGATCCACGCAATTGGGATCGATGACATGCATCAACCAAGTCAGCGAGTCTGACCATCCGATCCCGTTAGTCGCCTTTTACGACAAGCATAGTCGCCTTTTACGGCAAGTATGGGTTGCTGAAGACCTATTCTACCCCGGAATCTTCACGGGTCATCTGGCCATGGATGTAACCAGAATGATAGTGGGCCATTCATTATTTATGGGTACGGATGCAGATAAGGGGTGGTGATGATCTACAGGAGGACATTTGCTTGGTCATTTTGTACAAAAATCCAAAGGACTACTTCTTTCTTAATCATGTCGTACCTTCCAGCTTCCAGTAAAACAAACGGATTGACTGGAACTACTATGGAACCAACTAAAACAGAAACTGCCAGAAGGTAACAAACTAATACTGACACCAACAGCTCTGGACAACCATTCATCTCCCCGGAGAGTGAAAGGTTCGATCCCCAGGAGAGTCATACCAAGATACAATAGATGGTACTTCTTGTTTCGTTGCCTGGCACTCGACAATAACTACAGGGATAAAACAAAAGACTGGTCGGACCATTCAGTATGCAGTGGGGTATTCAGGTTAAACTTTGGCATGGGATTTCAGTGGGCTGGTACTGTGCAGCTGGCATTAGTCCAGTCTGGGAAATGACTTCCGCCCGTGTCCCCCCTAAAAAATAGAGAGAATTAAATGGACTGAGCGGCAATGCATACGTGTATAACTTTTGGATAGGAGATACTGGCGGGAGTCTTTCCCACGATGGACATCACAACATACAGGGCAACGATTGGGTTATTTTATAATAGATGTACGCCAACTCACCTTAAGCTTCAAAGTGTTCATCACCGCCTCCGTGGTCTAATGGTAGAGCGTCCGCCCGGAGAGCGGAAGGTCCGGGGTTCGATCCCCAGCCGCGTCATACCAAAAGACGTTAAAAGATGGTACTTGTTGTTACCCTGTCTGGCGCTCGGCATTAAGGGGCTAAAACAAGGACTGGTCGGCTCGGAGTCAGTATACTGTGTCTGAGTGGGGTATTCATGTTAAACTGCGACATGGTATCTCAGTGAGCTAGCCCTATAAACCGGCATCAGTCCGGACTAGTACAAGTAGGCACACACAGACACATACACGTGCATGCAGGTCGCTATATAAGTGCAATAATCTTGGACGCGACGTTAAACCCCATTTTACCTTGACTCAAAGTGTTCATCAGCCGATCTTTTCCTTGACCTCTTCCATGAACCGCACAGGGGGGACAGAGAATGTTTTGGGGTGGCATTATTGTATATTTCTCTAATTCCCTCAGTATCCATCATATAACAGACTTGGAAGTATGTAATACTGAATCATTGTGGTTTCAAGTTTATTCACCACAGAAATGTTTTCGACTTTGTGTCAACTACCTCGCACCCAACTCCCCTATTTCATATTGGACTGTTCTAGGGCACATGGTAGAAACTTCTTTTCATGTTGTTCGTGACATCGTTCTCGTTGGTGATCTGAATGAAGATCTTTTCAATGAGAATATTCACCACTTTTGTTATAGAAAAACACGAAAGAATGTACGCAGTATTTTTACCCAATTTAGTTTGTTGTGATTGTTTGTTTGTTTGTTTGTTGACCATAGAGGAGTTTTCGTTTGTGTATGGCTCTATAAACAGGCTCTAAAATGAATATACATTTATACATAACAATAGGAACGAATTATTTATTGTAGGGCATCAATGGAATGTGTAAACTTTTCCACTTTCCGATAAAAGATAACACGTGTGAGGGTACACCCTCAAAGTATTTAACTATTCGCCCTACGGAAAAAAACACAATGGTTCGATAAAGGCCTCAGGAGAGAGCGTCGCTCTGGAGACCGATATCGAAAAAAGCATGACGACGTGGTAAAATGAGCGATTTCGACACTTACAAAGTGCACATATATTAGAATATACTTCGGAGATATGATGTAACCGTAGTAAAAAAAAACAGAAAAAACTTGAAATAATTCAACAAGCAGCAGCTCGCATAGGAGCAGGTCTCTCTAAATTTTCGTCAAGATCGAGTTAATATTTTGATACAGGATGGGGATACTGTCAGACAGAAAAAATCTAAAAAAGCCTTGTATAAATTAGAATATTGTTTTTTGTTTATGTCCATCGTATTTGCATGGCACGTTACTATCCAAAGTGTCAACTTTTATTATTATTAGTTATGAGTTACGAAATAAGAACAATATCAACAGTGAGTGAGTGAGTATGGTTTTACGCCGCTTTTAACAATGTTCCAGCAATATCACGGCGGGGGGACATCAGAAATGGGCTTCACACATTGTACCCACGTCGGGAATCGAACCCGGGTCTTCGGCGTGACGAGCGAACACTTTAACCACTAGGCTACCCGACCGCCCCAATATCAACAGACCCCATGAAGTAACTACTACACACCAGCGTTCATGTATACCTTCTTCAATCAAACTATGGAATAAGTTACCCCCTGAATACAGAAGTACGACGTCATTGCCAAATTTCAAACATATGATCAAAACAACTTTTACAGCTCCACCTCCTTACTTACACCCGAAGAGCTAACATATTACATACACGTCTAAGACACCCTGCAGATCCCTAAATGCAGAAGACCGCCTCCGTGGTCTTGTGGTAGAGCGTCCGCCCGGAGATCGGAAGGTCCGGGGTTCGTTCCCCAGACGCGTCATACAAAAAGACGTTAAAAGATTGTACTTGTTGTTACCCTGTCTGGCGCTCGGCATTAAGGGGCTAAAACAAGGACTGGTCGGCTCGGAGTCAGTATACTGTGTCTGAGTGGGGTATTCATGTTAAACTGCGGCATGGTATCTCAGTGAGCTAGCACTATAAATCGGCATCAGTCCGGACTAGTACAAGCAGCCACACACACATATACACATGCATGCACGTCGCTATATAAGTGCAATAATCTTGGACGCGACGTTAAATCCAATTTCACCTCACCTAAATGCAGATTTTTTCAAAGTAAACTTAATGATACTCTATCCTGCTCTTGTGGAGATCCGTGTAAAAATATACACTTTCTTGAATGTCCCAAATACATTATTCCAAGAAGTAGTATGTTCACTAGCTTTATAACTGCTGGACGTACGTGCACAATGTGGTGTGTGCGTGCGTGCGTGCGTGCGTGCGTGCGTGCGTGCGTGCGTGCGTGCGTGCGTGCGTATTATATATTTGTTATGTGTGTATTTATGTAAAGAATGGAGCAATTGTCTATTTTAGTATATAATATCACTCTCTGGTCAATTACTAATAATAACGACATTAGTGTATGAATCGTAGCCATACGTGTGTGTGTGTGTGTTGTGTGTGTGTGTGTGTGTGTGTGTGTGTGTGTGTGTGTGTGTGTGTGTGTGTGGTGTGTGTGTGTGTGTGTGTGTGTGTGTGTGTGTGTGTGTGTGTGTGTGTGTGTGTGTGTGTGTGTGTGTGTGTGTGTGTGTGTGTGTGTGTGTGTGTGTGTGCGTACGTGCGCGTGTGTGCGTACTCGGCTGAAACGGGACGTCATGATAGCATCGTAACTGGCTAATACAGTGACTGTTATTTTAGTTGTGGCGACGTTTTGTGTTGGTTGTGTATATATATTATATCAGTAAATCGGAGCGAAATCAGTAAAAACACCACCCAAACACGTGACAAGAATCGTGAATCAACATTCCTTGACTGGAGGCGATGCTTTTGGAATCGGAAATTTTCGACAAGGCTTAACAATCTTCAGCATAAAAAAGTTGATTGCACCTGCAGCGTTCTCAGCGTTTGAACTTCTAAGCCACCTCGCCACCCCAACGTGTGTAACAGAAAGAAATTTTACAGAAAAGTAAATCAGTAATTCCCGGCATCTATCTGTTGTCAGAGATGATTGAGAGTAATTCCCACAACATACTTGCGTATCTGAGTGTGCCCCACTTGTCCAACTTGTGATTTATTTAACCCAAACTTGCTGCAAAAGACGACTATGCTTGTTGTAAGAGGCGACTAACGGGATCGGGAGGCCAGGCTAGGTGACTTGGTTGATACATGTCATCGTATCCCAAATGGGTGGATGAATGTTTATTATATCAATCACTGGATTGTCTGGACCAGACTCGATTATTTACAGACCGCCGTCATATATAGCTTGAACATTGCTGAGTGCAACGTTAAACAACAAACAAACAAAACACTGACATGTGGAAAAACTGTATGCACCTTGTGAAATATAACGATCATCACTATTTTCCTTAGTACCAGATAAACTATTTATTTTATTTTTTTTTAAATATACATTTAGAGACCGCCGCCATATAGCTGGGAAACTGTGTTAAACTAGGTACAGCGTTAAACAACAAACAAACAAAATATAAATATCGGAAAAAAAGTCTACATCCACACTCATTTAGAATTTCTACATTCAGTGGGATCAACATTAGGACGAATAAACTCTGTGTATATATATTCTCAAATTAAATCAGCATTGATTTTTACTAATTTTACTAAAATTAACTAAATGCAAGGTTGACGACAGATACCTTATGACCCCGGACACAGAGCTGTGCACACAATGGTTTTTTATGTCTATGTCAATGTACGTTAAAAAATGTTGGTTGGTTGTTTTACGCCGCACTCAGCAATATTCAAGCTCCATGGCGGCGGTCTGTAAATAATCGAGTCTGGACCAGACAATCCAGTGATTGATATCATGAGCATCGATCCGAAGATCTATTAAATTCTGTCCCGGATCTTCACGGGTCTTAAAAATGAAAAAGAAAAGAAGATAAAAGTGGGACGTGTCATTACTTAACATAGATGTAACACTAAATAACGCCTTGAATTGTGATTTAGTAATGTGTCATAAATGGCGAGATTTGCGATGTACTTAATTCTCAGAGGTCATTTTCAGTAATTTTGTTCGCCTAAGATAACAGTGGAGAGTATCACAAAACAGGAAATTTCCAAGTGGTGAAGAGAGGGGACATATTTGTCCCTCTAGATCTGGCGTTCAGGGATAATACAATCGTCGCTCATAATATCAGTCACTGGATTGTCTGGTCAAGATGATGTCCACGCCGCCGTTGGAATATTGCTGAGTGCGGCGTTACGAAACAAACAAATTTGGACACCCTGCAGGAAACTTTTAAAGAGGTTTACTTGTTGCAGAACACCAACAATATCACGGCGGACACCAGAAATACGTTTTACACTAGTACCCATGTGGGGAATCGAATTGGAGTCTTTGGCTACCCCGCGAGAAATATTTATAAATTTTAGCAGCAGTTATTTCCACATATTAAGAACAACTCCATAGAAAAGATGTATATTCAGCTTTTGTTAAACTATGTCGACCACGTGTTCTTGCGAATACACATGATATGTCACGAAGCCAGCATTGCGATGTCCTGTGAATTAGGAGATAAACCTACTGTGTTTTCAATGTAGAGCTAGGTTACCTGTAGATTAAACCCCGCTAAATTGAATTTGGAACCGAATGTTTATCTCCATTCTACCATAACTAAATAAAACGCGAACACTTTGGTGTGAGCAAATATACTGAGTGAAGCGGCATGGGTTGAGTCCAGTGTTTTGAGTGGGTTGTCGATCTGAATTGCGGAATCACCGAACAAAATATGGCGCTTTATATACTCAAGCAATTTGATTACACCGTAATACTTCACTCGAACATATGATAGGCATTGAAAGCATATAAGCACGGCAACTTGGTAAGCTAACATGAGGTGGGCATCCCTAAAGAAAACAAATCAAGCTTTGCAAGGCTTTCGCTCTACATCGCGCGTCACCATTATGACGTCATATCGCTCATTGTGACGCAAAAGATATGACGTCACACTCGTATATAGAAAAGCGCTAAAATTCCAAGCTCTCTAGCTGTTGTGTCCAAAACGTAAATACATTCCCTTTGTAAATTTCTATCG